AAGAAAAGAAAAAAAAAAAGAGGGGAAGAAGAAAGAAAAAAAAAGGAAAAAAGTAAGAAAAAAAATAGGGAAAAGAGAGAAAATAAAAAAAAAAAAAAGAAAAAAGATTTCGCTCGTCGCTCCGGGTTTGCTGCCAGTCATTCAGTCAGGACAGTAGCCGCTATGCACCACGGGGGAAAAGGCTCATAAGCTGCACTTTCAGTTGTTTTCACAAGCAATCCGGGATCTCTTGGTAAAGGCGCTACCTCCTCGGGCAAGACATCCGCAACGTCGTGAATATCGGCGTCTCCGACGCGGTGAACTGGGAACCTGGCACTTCGCGCAGGTCCATCACCAACGACACGAACTCCGAAGGATCGTCGGTCTCAAAAGCCACCACGAACTCCGGGTCGTCAATACCAAACGAGTACGTTGTGTTTATCGTGACCCCCGGATAGCCGTGTCCGATTCGGAAGTGATCGTTCATCATCTGTTGCCGCTCGTCAAGCGATAGACCGTACCACGGACGAGTTTTGGTCATCGGGTAAACGATGAAGTAACGCTTGTTTTTTCGTTCGACCTCAGGATTTCCCCCGCCGTGCTTGTATCTAGTTTTGCGACGGAGTGAAAGATAAGAGTGAGGTTGGTCAAAATGGGCGGCCGCCTCGGTACGGTTGATCGCTGCCGCCGTCGAGTGAAACGCTTCGACATTCGGTGCGCTCTGAAACAGGAGCAGATCAACATCTGCCCGAGTGCCGACTGCGCTGAAACTCGATATTGGCGAACCCACGTCGTCGCCTGCCTCTTGGATCGTCGCCACGAACTCTTCGCGCAACTGAGTCTTGCGGTTCGGTTCGAGTAACCGCCAAGAAGGTCGCGCTTTAAAGAACGAAAATTTCACGTAGTCGCCGTATTCGATGTTGGGCATGGTTGACTAGTCTGATCCGAGGGTTTGGTCGAGACACCGGACTGCAATGTCCGGCGAATTCCTGACATATGAAGTATAGAAAATCACGTATGTTTCGATGTTTTTGACAACCGGTTCGTAAACTCATTGGTGGACTTGACCTACCGTTGCGACGGTTCACTCGACATCAAATCACTCCGAAAAGTAAGGGATTGCACGTGCCTAAGTTGGCTGTAGTTTCGCTCATTCAAGACGATCAACCATTAAACGCGATGGTCGACTTTGCGATCGAGCACGGCTTCCAAGTAGTGGAATTGATGGGCAAGTTTCACAGCGCAGAAACGCTGTCCGAACATGATCTGCGATATCTGGAGGAAGAGTCTGAATCGAACGGCATCACGTTCAATCAGCACTACCTTCACGGCGCGATGCCGGGTTCGCATCGGACAAGTGTTTGGCACGACACGCTTGCGAGTTTCGAACGCAATATGGAGATGGTTCACCGACTGCGTGGCAGCGTAATCGTGTTGCATCCCGGAAAAATCGACGTCCCGACGCTGTCACGCCCGGAGGATGGTTCTGAACTCATTCGGCGCGAAGCTGTACGGAATCTCAAGAGATTCGTCCGTAGCGCAGTGCCGACCGCCGAAAAGCTCGGGATTACTATCTGCATCGAGAACCTAAAACACGATCCGGGATACGTCCTGAGTTCATACGAAGATCTGGCGTCGGTAATCGACGATGCCGATAGCGATAACGTCGGAGTCGTGCTAGATGTCGGTCACTGCATCATCGGCGACGGGTTAACGGAAGCAATCGAGGTGCTAGGCAATCGCATACGTCATCTTCACCTCAACGACGCGATCGATGGCGTGGAGCACGAAGAGATCGGGACTGGAATCTTAGATCTCGACGAAATGGCGCCATTGCTCACTGGCGATCTGAACACCGAGTTCGCGACGCTGGAAGTCGGCAAGGCACCTGACAGCGAAGGCATCATCCTTCGAAGCCGCGAAGTGTTGAGGAACCGTTACGGCGACGCTGTTGACTGAGTGACCAGATTGTCGCGAGGGGCGCTCTAGACGGCGCACTCGCCTTCGCCACGTTCTAGCTTGTAGACCACCGTCTTGCCCCAGTCCATGTAAGTCTGGATGTGCTCGCGGTCTAGGGGGCCAATCTCGGCCTTCCAAGGTGCGAACATATCCTCGTATGGCTGCGTGCCGACGCGGTCAACGAATGAGTTGAACTCTTCGCCATCGTTCCGGTTCGCCTTGTAGTGATCGACGATCAACTCCAAAGCTTCACCTGCACGCTTCGCAGGGACCCGGGCTCTCACTCGATTCCCGACCCGCACGGGACCATCGGTCGATTCCCCGGCGATGAAAAGCTCGTACGCTGGGATCTGTCCGCCTTCACCCTTCATCACTGCTCCGTGGAAGCCGATGTTCGCTACGTGGTGTTGTCCGCAAGAATTCGGGCAGCCGCTAGCTTTGATGTGAATCTTCGAAACTAACGGGTCCGAGACATCCATCGTATCCAGTTTCTCGCCAAGCGCCTCGTTTAACCCCATCGATGAAGTGATACCTAGCTTGCAAGAGTCGGTACCCGGGCACGTCACGATATCGCGGATCGTCTCTCGGCCGCTCGCGGCCATACCGATCTCTTTGAGCGCCAGGTAAACGTCGTACAACGATTCCGTCCGCACCCATCGGAAAACGATGTTCTGCTGCTGGTCGATTCGAGCGCGACCACCTGCGTACTCGCGGGCGATGTCGGCCAGAGGTTGCCACTGTTCGTTGTAGATATCTCCGCGTTCCACACGGACGAAGATGACATTGAAACCGTCTTGGCGCTGCTCGTCAACTGAAGTCGCCTTCCAGAAATCGTATTCCGCATCATTTATAGGTTCTGGGGTAGGGTTCGAAGGCACCGCCGGCGCATCGGCCGACTCGTCCTCGATGAACAGCAGCGTGTCGAGATCGATTTCTTTGTTCGCCCAATCTCCCTTGAGTTCCTCATCCACCAACTCACGGAACTTCTCGATGCCGAGCCGTTTGATGGTGTACTTGATCCGAGCGCGCATCAAATTCTTTCGCTCTTCGTCCTGCCGGTTGAAGATTCTTAACGCGGCTTCTGCGTGTCGGATGAAATCCTCGACTGGCACAAATTCGCTCAACGTCTCCGCCATCTGCGGCATGATCGATAGACCACCTCCCACGACGATCTTGAAACCTCGCTTGCCGTCACGCTCCCGGGCAATGAAACCCATGTCGTGGAACGGGGTCATCGCCTCGTCTGCGTCTGAACCAGAGAAGGCAGTTTTCGACTTGCGCGGCATGTTCTGCGTCGTTGGGTGCCGAAGGAAGTACCGAGCGTATGCAGCTGCGTACGGGCTGATATCAAAAACCTCGGTCTTCGACACACCGGCCGTCGGGTGGGCCACGACGTTTCGAACCGTGTTCCCGCATGCTTCCCGCGTCGTCAGGCCGACGTCGCCGATTTCACGCATCAACGCTGGAGTATCGTCCAACGGAACGTGGTGAATCTGCACGTTCTCGCGGGTCGTAAGATGCCCTTTTTTGAGCGGAGCATATTTTTCGATGACTTCGCCGAGGAACCTCCAACTGGCGAGCGGTCAAGCCACCAAATGGCGCTTTGATGCGAACCATCTGGCGATCCGGTTGCCTTTGGCCGTAAACGCCTTGGCGCAGACGGAATCGCATGAACGGCGTTTCTTCGAAATCTCCCGCCTTGAATCGCTCTTTCTGCTCTTCGAAGTTGGCGATCTCTTCACCGCTAATCAACATTCACCCTTGCGCCAGCTTCGTCGGGTTTCCATTCGGTCTGTTTGGTCTCTACGTTTATGGTCACGATGTATTCGCTCTTACAGATAGCAACGCCTCGGCACGTCGAATTCGCCGATTGTTGGTAATCATACACCGCACGTCGAATCGCCAACCGATGAAATCGCACGCGATCCCGCGCCATCTCCAATGGGTAGCGACCCTTTCACGATTCTGTACACTTTTTGTCAATTCGACACTCTTGGCCTCTAAAGTGTGGCCCCTAATGCGGATTGGAAGTTGAAATGAACGCATCGGAGTTTGCTGGCATCCACTTCATGATGCCCACGCCATTCGCGACGGACGGCTCAGTCGACACCGGACCTATTACCCGCTTGGTCGAAAAAGCCGAAAATGCGGGATGCACTGGCGTCGTCACGCTCGGTGTAATGGGCGAGGCCCATCGACTTTCGGATCGCGAACGACTTCCCATCATTGAGCAGTCGTTGACGCATGCAGCGGACGATTGACCGTAACCGTCGGCATTAGCGGTCAGAGTGGCGCCCAAGCCGCGGATCGAGTCCGCGAAGCTCAAAACATCGGTGCTACCGCCGCGATGGCATCGCCTCCGACACTAGCCAAACCCAATGATGCCGCGGTCTTCAACTACTACCGAGCAATCGACGATGCGACTGCTATACCGATCGTGGTTCAAGACCTGCCCGAACAGACTGGCGTCCACATGTCAGCCGAATTCATAGCCAAATTGAATGCAGAGCTTGCCAATGCCAAATTTCTGAAACTAGAAGACCCGCCGACACCGCCTAAAATATCTGCGGTACGTCAGCGCAACCGGCGACAACATGGGCGTGTTTGGTGGGTTGGGCGGCGCATTCCTGTTCGAAGAACTGAGCCGAGGCGCGGTCGGCACAATGACCGGGTTTGCATATCCTGAAGCACTGGTAAAAATCCACTCGCAGTTCGCCAAGGGAGAGAGGGAAAGCGCGCGCCAAACGTTCTACGGCTGGTTGCCGTTAATCAGATATGAGAACACCGCCGGTCTCGGCCTTTCGATACGCAAACACCTGATGGCTAGACGCGGGATGCTTGATTCGCCGGCCGCGAGACCGCCGACGCCAGTAATCGACGACCTCGGGATCGCCGAGCTTGACGACATCCTCCGCGCCATGGCGCCTTTCATCGAATCCGAGATTGCCGAGACGACGATCTCAGCATAACGTGCCGCCGCGACCCACCTCGTCAATGTTTACCGATTAAGATAAGCACAAATCGCATAGCCCTCGTGACTCATCTCAAAGGTCACGTCGGCTATGAAACGTACCGTTACATGCCGGATCCCAAGAAAGACGAATCTAACGACCTAGAAACGCGCACGATCTACTGCATGCACTGCGGCACGGCAGCGTCCGAAGGCGACTACGCATGCGACCGTTGCGGTGAGCGCGTCTATATCCCGGATTCCGCACGCGTTCCGCCGTTGGGATTCACGAGTTGCATGAAATGCGCAACGGTAAATGAGGCGCACGCTTCGTACTGCGCAGTCTGCGCGACCGAGATCGATCAAAGTACGAGAATTTCCCCCGAAGGCACGACGGCGGATCGAGTTTCGCCGAACTCTCGCCACGGAGCGGGTCGCGAAGCGAACCGATCAACCGAATCCAGAAGTGGTGGCTACAGAATCGGCGGTGGTACATTCCGCCCAAGCCAGTGGGGATTGCCCCGAAGGACGCGTTCTGCGGGGAGCGATGAAAATCAACCACCGCAGGAGATCCAACGCTGGAACTGGTCGGCTTTCATTCTGGGTCCGATTTGGGGATTGGTCCACGGCATTTGGTGGTCAATACTCGGTTTCCTGCCCCTGCTTCCCGTACCGCCGACATTGAGATCCATCGGCTTCATAGTGCTAATTGGCGTGATGATAACCCTCGGAATGAAGGGCAACGAAATGGCTTGGCGCGCCCGCAATTGGGATAACCCCAAAAAGTTCCTTGCCGTTCAACAGCGCTGGCGGACGTGGAGCATCGTGTTCGCCATCGGCGCTTTCTTCGCGATCATCCTGTTCCTAGTCGGACAGGGTTAGACGTGGAATGAGATCGAACTGCAACTCGGTCTCTCCCCGAGAGGCGATGTAGGCGAGGCACCGACTCTTCAAAGAACGGCGGTAATCCAAGTTCGAAAATGAAGGTGTCGACATGATGATGGCGTCCTCGCGGTTGTCGTGGTAATACTTGTGCCGTACCCCAACATCCGCAAAACCATATTTCCGATACAGGGAACGCGCAACAAGGTTGGATTTTCGGACCTCTAACGTCGCATTCGTCGCGCCGGTCTTCACGGCTTCGGAAATCGTGGCGATCAGCAGCAATTCCCCCACGCCTTTGCCGCGTTCGCTCGGTCGGGTCGCGATCACGACAATGTGCGCTTGATCTACCGCGGTCCAGATACCCACCAACCCAACTATCTTGCTCGCCGATTGCTCCAATTCTGAGTTTCCAATCGAAGACGAGAATATCGAACGAAACTTACTTGACCACCCGCCACTCACTTCTCCATCAGAATGTTCGAACGAACCATTATCCCCACGACCTTTCGTTGCCACGATGTACGTCGTGTTAGCGCGCTTGATGTCCCTCGCCGCGGACGATTTAGGCGCTGAAGCGCCGAACGCTTCTTTTACCACCTGATCGATCGCATCTGCATCTGCGATCGTCGCGTATCGGGCGCCGTACGGATTCACCAATGCGTCGCGCGCCGTCGAATCGTACGTACGTTCAGACGTGCCTACCGTTATCGAAGGATTTGCCATGTCATTGATTGTCTGTAATTTCGTCCAGGCGCAAACCGTGGCAGACGAGGCGCTGGCTTGTTTGTGATTGCAACTACGACTCTAGCGCATGTTGAACTGACCAACGGATTCGCTTGATTTCAGCACCCTTACCGTCCGCTTAAACACGCATCAATTCATTAGAATGCATGAGATTTCAGAATTCGTCCTTTTGCCCCTCACAACAAGGCGTAGAATCAAATACCTATGGGTTTCTTACTGAACCTGCTGACACGGTTGACCGTGCCTTCCGCCGCGTCAGCAACAGCACCGGCCGCTAGAAGCGCGCCCATGACCGACACGGACAACACCGGCGGCGGTTTCCACGTGCTGATGCGCATCATCCGCATGGCACTGGAATACCGGTGGCTCATCGCCATCGGCTTCGTGTTCATCGTCGGCGCTTCGATCTTCCAGCTCTTCATCCCATTGCTCATTGGCAACGGGGTTGAAACCGTTGAACAGATTTTCACCTCTGAAAATCCTGACACCGACGCACTTCGGTGGACATTGGTGACTATCGCCGGAATGCTTCTCGGTTCTGCTTTGCTCCGTGGTGTCTTCACCTACGGGCACATGTACATCAGCGAAAACTTGGCGCAACGCCTCGGTTACCGGCTCCGGATGCTCTACTACGAGAAGTTGCAGCGTCTGAGTTTCGCGTATCACGACCGCGTCCACACCGGCGACCTGCTGACACGAGGTTTGCTCGACATTGAGGGCGTGCGTGCATTCGCAAGCCGCGGAATGCTCCGGGTTGTCTATCTCGCAATCTTCGTCGGAACCGGCACCGTTTTGATGATGCGCGAGGACTGGCAGCTAGCGTTGATCAGTCTCAGTTTCGTACCGATCGCAGCATGGAGGTCCATTGTCGCGAGACTGCAAACTTCTCGAGGTTGGAGACGGTACCAAGAAGAAATGGGACAGCTAACCAAGATCATGGACGAAAATTTGAAAGGTATTCGAGTCGTCCGATCCTTCTCGGCTGAGCCATACGAGCTTGTCAAATACGACATATCCTCCAACGAGGCATTCAATCGTGCCTACCAATTGGTCACAGTTCGAGCCACCAATCTGACATTCATAACCTTAGCTTTCTTTGGTGCAATGTCTTTGGTCCTGCTGGTCGGTGGACTTAAGGTCCTTGACGAAGCCAATCCATTCTCCCTCGGCCAACTCGCACAGTTCCTAGCCTTCATGAGCATCATGCAAAACCCCGTTCGACAGCTTGGCATGGTCGTCGCAGGATGGGCGCGCGGTGCAACCTCCGGTAAAAGACTCTTCGAAGTCCTCGATCAAGTCCCTGAAATCGACGACAAACCGGGTTCAAAAGATCTTGTCATCACCGGGGGCGTACTTCGTTTCGAGCACATCGACTTCGCCTATATGGACCAGTTCGGTGATGAGCAAGTCCTCACTGACGTCACGTTCGAAGCCCGTCCGGGCCACACCATCGGCATCGTCGGTCCACCGGGTTCCGGCAAGTCCACTCTCGCACATCTCATTCCGCGTTTCTACGACCCGATCGCCGGACGCATACTTATCGATGACCAAGACATCTCAGAAGTCACCCTCGCCTCGCTCCGAAGCGCCGTCGGTGTAGTTGAACAAGACACGTTCCTGTTCACCACGACCATCGACAACAACGTCGCCTACGGAGATCCTTGGGCTGAGCACCGAAGCATTGAGAGTGCGACCTCGAATGCCCAGATGGGCGAATACGTCGAAAGACTTCCCAGCGGGTATGGGACGTTGGTCGGCGAACGCGGCGTCTCACTATCTGGCGGCCAACGCCAACGCCTCTCGATCGCTCGTAGCATAATGCTCCATCCCCAGATCATCGTCTTCGATGACTCGACCGCCGCGATTGACGCCGCAACCGAACAACGTATCCGAGCCGCACTTCAAGAAGTCACCGCTGACCGCGCAACCATCATCATTTCGCACCGCCTCAGCTCTCTCATGCACGCCAACGAAATCCTCTTTTTGGAGGGCGGCAAGATCGTCGAACGCGGCTCTCACGCCGAACTCCTTGAGCAAGGCGGCAAGTATCGTGATCTTTACGAACTGCAAATTAGGCCTGAAGACGACAACTTCCAAACCAAGGGCGAGGTTTAGCAGTGGCTAGTTCTGATACCGCCCACCAAGGCGAATCTCAAAGCGGAGGGTCCCGACCCGCGTGGGTCGACCAACGCAGACCGTCTGGCGATCTCGATGAGCAAATCTTCAGCGCCGCCTTCAGCGGTGACGTAATCCGACGGTTCTGGAGATTCGTCCGGCCGTATCGCGGTGTGTTGTCTATCGGCCTCGTCGCAGTTTTGCTCTTCGCCGGGTCGGCGCTCGCTTTGCCGTGGATCGTAAGGACCACCGTCAATGACGTGCTGGATATCCATACACGTGGCGCTGGCGACCCCCGCAACACGCTGTTCATCATGGTCGGCGCATTCTTTGGTGCTGTCCTGATCCACGTCGTCATGGGATACCTACAAAACATGATCGTCGGACGCGTCGCCGAGCATCTTCTGATCGATCTCCGCCGCGCGATGTACGAGCACCTGCAACGCGTCTCCATGTCCTTCATGGACAAGACCGAGGTCGGACGCATGATGTCCCGACTCCAAGGCGACGTCGGCGCGCTCCAAGAATTCCTCGAAACTGCAGTCACCAGCGTCGGCGACTTTGTCCTCCTTTTCGGCATCATCATTGCCATGCTCATCATGGACTGGCGATTGGCGTTGCTCACATTCGCCGTCGTCTCTATTCTCGCCATCGCTCGCGCGATCTGGTTGCCGATAGCTCGGCGCGCTTTCCTCTATTCCCGACAGACGGCTTCGATCACCAGCGGGGCGCTCGCAGAGAACATCAACGGCGTCCGCGTCGTTCAGGGAATGAGTCGAGAGCATGTCAACCTCGATCTCTTCAAGGAGAAGGCCGACGAGCAACTTCGAGCGGCGAACCGCGCCGCTCGAATCGGCCTAGTCATGATCGCTCTCGTCGATACGCTCTCAGGATCCGCAATGGCAATCATCATCGTCGTCGGTGGTTCGATGGTCATTAACAACTCTCTAGAAATCGGTTCGATGCTCGCTTTCATCCTCTATGTCCAGCTCTTCTTCGACCCCATTCGCTCCATCACCATGCATTACGCCGTCTTCCAACGCGCCATGGCATCCGGCGAACGCATCTTCGAAGTCTTGGACGTTCCCGTCGATATCACAGACAAAGAAAACGCGGAACCCCTCAATGACAACGACGGGTCCGTCGAGTTCAACGACGTAACTTTCGGATACCTTGAAGACGAACCGATACTCAAAAACATAACGTTCCGCGTCGAACCCGGCGAAACCGTCGCATTAGTGGGGCCAACAGGTTCTGGCAAGACCAGCATCACTTCGCTTCTCCATCGCTTTTACGACATATGGGAAGGCGAGATTAAGATCAGCGGCAAAGATGTTCGTGACATTGAACTCAGCAGCATGGGCGACAACATCGGTATGGTGCTCCAGGAACCATACCTCTTCTCAAGCTCCGTCTACGAAAATATCCGATACAACAAACTCGACGCTACTCGCGAAGAGGTAGTGGCCGCCGCTCGCGCCGTCGGTGCCCACGAGTTCATCATGCGATTGCCTGACGGGTACGACACTGAACTTGAGCAGCGCGGCTCAAACCTCTCACTCGGGCAACGCCAGCTTATCTCCTTCGCCCGCGCGATCGTCGCTGACACCAAGATTCTCATCCTCGACGAAGCCACCGCCTCAATCGATAGCTACACCGAGCTACTGATCCAGCAAGCGCTCGGACGCCTACTTGAAGGCCGAACCGGCATCGTCATCGCGCACCGACTCGCCACCATACGCGGCGCTGATCGCATCCTCGTCCTCCAAAACGGCGAAATCATCGAGACAGGCAATCACGACGAACTGATGGCGCACCGCGGGCTATACGCACGCCTTTACTCCATGAACTACGCTTCGTTCGATGACATCCCCGACGAGTTGATCGCCGAGGCGATGGAATACTCCAGAACCGCGGCAACCTAACTTCTGAGTCAGATCAACGGACGCTGTCCAGCGTCCGCCGCCGCATCCGATGGCGCGCCGACGTGCGTCATGCCGCGTGTCGTTGCACGCCGACCTTGAGGAGTACGCATGATGAACCCGATCTTCAATAGAAACGGTTCAACCACGTCTTCGAGCGTCTGAACCTCTTCGTTGGCGGATGCGGCTAGGGCATTGATTCCCGCCGGTCCGCCGCCGTAGTTTCGGGCCAACGTCTCAAGGTACAAGCGGTCCAAACGATCCAAACCAAGTTCATCCACGCCTTCGACGTGCAATGCTTCGGCGGCGACCTCATCGTCGATCTCGCCTTCGCGTCTTACTTGCGCATAGTCACGTACGCGGCGTAGTAGATTGTTGGCGATGCGAGGCGTGCCGCGTGAGCGACTCGCGATCACTTTGGCGCCCGGTTGATCGATGGAAACCGACAATATCGACGCTGAACGAGTAACCACATGCGTCAACTCCCCAACGGAGTAATAGTCGAGGTGATACGTCAATGCGAACCGCTCACGTAACGGCGGACTCAGCATCCCAGCTCGTGTCGTTGAGCCGATCAGCGTGAACTTCTGGAGCGGCAAATTGATCGTCTTCGCAAACGCGCCGGCACCAGCAATGAAATCGACGCGGTAATCTTCCATCGCCGAATACAAATACTCCTCGACGGCGTGCGACAACCGGTGTATCTCGTCGATGAACAACACATCGCCATGCTTCTGGTTCGAAAGGATGCCAACCACATCTGCAGGACGTTCCAACGCGGGACCCGATGTATGGACCAAGGTCGTTTCCATCTCCCTAGCGATGATTTGCGAGATCGTCGTCTTGCCCAAACCCGGCGGACCGTGAAACAACGCGTGATCTAGTGTGTCGCCACGTTGCTTCGCCGCTTCAACCGCGATCTGGATGCTGTTTACAACCTGCCGTTGCCCGATGTATTCGGCGAAGCGGCGTGGACGCAGGTCGTTCACGCCTGGCGCTTCCGAGTTGATCGACGCTCGCTCGCTTAGCATTTCCGCAGCTCTGCGGTCGGCACTCGTCTCGGCGTCTTCGGCGCCAGATACGATGCGCTCTCTTGCAGAATCAGGCATTCAGCGAAATAACCGAATTAGTTACTTTAGGTCGAGGCAGCCGGCGTCGCCGGGCTGTTGCGGAAGACATCTCGCAGTAACGCCTGCGGATCATCATCATAGGTCGGATCGCGACGGATCGCTGCGTCAACCATCGCAATCGCATCAGTGTTGCGATACCCGAGGCTCACCAATACCGCAACTACATCCGATCGCGTGCTGGGTACCCGGCTGGCACGCTGGGCGGCAGTTTCTATGGGACGGCTAGCAGCAGCCGAAACCTTGCCGCGCAGAGTCGCGATGATCTTTTGCGCGCCGCGCTGTCCGATGCCTGGCATCAAGGTCAAAGTCACCATATCTTCGGTTTCGATCGCGTATGCGAGCGTCGGAACCGGCATTGTCAACGCGGTCGCTGCCCGCGCCGGCCCGATACCCTCGACTTGGATGAACTGCTCGAAGAACTCTCTGTCGCCCTCATCTTTGAATCCCACCAAAATCGGCAGCGGCTGCCGTTCCGAAACCGAGTAGAAGATGTGCAGTTCTATGGGGTTGCCAACCTCGGGCTGTAGCGATTCATGGACAAATGTCGGCAGCACCACCGAATATCCGACTCCAGATGCAGTCAGCACAACAACCCTTGGCGGATTGTCGTTGACTTGCAGAACCTCGCCTCTCAAGTAGGAGATCATCGTTTCGCCACCGCTTCATTCACCTCCGGCGAACCCGTCACATGCACATGGCAGATCGCGATACCCACGGCATCCGCAACGTCCTCCTTGGCGATCTCTTCCGCCAAACCCAACCGCATCGAGACCGCCCGTTTCATCTGCGCCTTGTCCGCCCGCCCGCTACCGGCAACGATACTCTTGACCCGCGTGGGCTGATAGTGGTGCACCGGAATGTTGGCACGTCCGGCCGCCAGAATCGCGACACCGCGGGCGTGACCCATGATTATCGCAGTCTTCAAATTCCGATAACGTGCATGAAGATCCTCGATGGCGACTTCGTCGGGCTCAAACTCTTCGATGATCTCGACCAATGTCTCGTTGATCGCCTCAGGCGGATCTCTAGTGCCTCGCTCGACTTAGTTCGAATCAACCCACCCTCAATCAAAGCGACGTTCCCACGTGCATCTGCCGACACGACCGCGTAACCGGTCGTGGTGAGCGCAGGGTCGATACCCAATATCCGTCGATGATCGTCCATGCTCCCCCGGCGACTTGTCGGCACTTCGCACTATGCCGATTTTAACGCCGAAAACGAACCTCGTCCGTCCAGAATGTGCGGGATCACTCGTAATCATCATCTACGCGGCACATCCTCAACTGTTTATCCGCGAACCGCGATGCCATCAAGCCCTGCTGCGACAACTAGAATCACACCAATTCAAACTCCAGCCGAGGAATCCCGCAATGGAACCCTTCTACAACGAACAGCAGCAGATGCTCGCAGCGACCGTCCGCGAATTCGCGGAAAGCGACCTTGCGCCGCCTCGCAGACGAGGTTGATACAAGAGAAGAATTTCCCAAAACGCAGTTCGCGGGCCTCGCCGAACTCGGTCTGACAGGCCTACTAGATCCCGCCCGAACTCGGCGGCGCCGGAATGGGGTACCGCGACTTCATGGTTGTCCTCGAAGAAATCGGTGCCATCTTGCGGCAGCACCAGTACAGTGCTCATCACTCATACTTCCCTCGGCTCCGAAACCATCAACCGCTTCGGCAACGCAAGATCAACGCGCCCGATGGCTACCGCACCTCGCAGCAGGGGAGAAGATTGCCGCTTTTGCCTTATCAGAACCTCAAACGGCTCCGATGCTCTCGGTCTCCAAACGACATCACCGACGAGGGCGAATCGTACATCTCACGGCACCAAGCTATTCATCACCAACGCATCCGTCGCCGACGTCTTCGCCGTATTCGTGACCTCCGATCGCTCAGCTGGCTATCGCGGCATCGCCGCAATCGTTGTCGAACGCGGCACTCCTGGATTTGAAATCAACGAACAGCACGGCAAAATGGGAATGCGAGGTTCCGGTACCGCTGAACTCGTATTCTCCGACTGCGCAGTGCCCAAATCCAACCTTCTCGGGAAAATTGGGAACGGCTACAGCATCGCCCTCAAAATACTCGACTCCTCACGCATCACCGTCGCAGCCCAGTGCTTAGGTCTGGCAAAAGGCGCGCTCGACCAAGCTGTCGCGTACGCCAAACTACGCCACGCATTTGGGCGACCACTCGCCACGAAACAAGCCATACAGTTCATGCTCGCCGATATGGAAACTGAGCTCGACGCCGCCCGACTCCTTACCTACCGGGCCGCCTCGCTCTACGACAAAGGACTCCCGTACGGCACCGAATCCGCAAAAGCCAAACTCTACGCCTCCGAAGTCGCTGGACGAAACGTCGACAAAGCCGTCCAAATTCACGGCGGTATCGGCTACTTCAAACCAACTCCCGTCGAGCGCATGTACCGAGACCAACGCGTAACCCAAATCTACGAAGGTACGTCCGAAATCCAGAGATTAGTAATCAGCCGCGCCGTGATCGGCGAGATTTAGACGGCACTTGCGCTTAACGCGCGGCAGGGGATTCCCTCTCTTTTGCGGGACGGTTGACGACATGGACCATTGTCGTCGTTTCGGCAGTTGATCCCTTTTGCGACACGCCCCTCTAGCGTCACATCCGCTTTGTTTCCATACGGTATCCCGGATTGACAAGAATCATCGATTAGATTTAACATAGCTGTGGTTGCGTATTGCGTCCTTGCCTAGGCGCGCGATTTTGGATTGAGATGTCATGCACTTCAACGTTGCGGGTCTACTGACCGGTTCCGTGGGCGATGAAATCAGATTCCATTTCGCTCACGAGACTTTAGATAACGACGGACTGTCGTTCCGAGAAGTTGAAGCCCGCGGTAAACTGATGCGTACAGATCGAACGGTCTTCGCCGAAATGAAGGTACAGGCTCAGTTTGATGCTGAGTGCTCAAGGTGTCTCGTCGACACTGTTGCGCCTCTCAGCCTCGACTTCGTTGAGGAGTTCAAACCTCTCAACGCCGATCTGATGCATCGCGATCCGGGCTGGTTCGACCAATACGAAACAACCGAAAACGACAAGGCGTTGACCATAGATTCAACTAACGTGCTTGACATATCAACCGCACTCTGGCAGGGTTTGAGCGCTGCGATGCCGATGAACCCGCTTTGCGATCCGTCATGTAAAGGGATGTGCGCCGGATGCGCCGCCGATTTGAACCTCGGCGAATGCAATTGCCCAATGGCATAGCCTGCCCCTAACTTCCCAGAATCCGAAATCCGCCGACCACCAACTGAGTACCAGGTGCCATGGCCCCGCTTCCCAAGAAAAAACACACGCGAGCCCGCAAAGGCAATCGAGCAGCACACCACGCAATCGGTTTGCCGACGCTCGTTCACTGCTCGCGGTGTGACACTCGTATTCCTCCGCACCGCGTGTGTCCGGAATGCGGTAACTACAAAGGACGAACCGTCAAAGGAAACTGGCCGAACGCCGACGTTTACAACGTTGACGTTGTCGATGCATGATTTAGACGGTCGCGGTTCCGAACCGGATCCGCGACGACCAATCCAGAAGGTTTTCTCAGTTCCCGCAAAACGGAGACAAAAAAATGACCACAGGCCTCGCAGAATCCACATTGACCGCATTTGTGTTCCCAGGACAGGGATCCCAAGCCGTTGGTATGGGTATGGACCTATATATCAACTCCAGCGCTGCCCGAGAAGTTTTCGATGAGGTTGACGATGTTCTGGGGCGGAAACTGAGCGACGTCATGTTCGGAGGTTCAACCGAAGAGCTGACTCGAACTGAAAACGCACAACCGGCCATCCTCACAACTTCCATCGCCGCTTGGCGCGCACTTGAGGAAACGACTGAGAGTATCGCCGTGCCCGATATGACCGCTGGTCACAGTCTCGGTGAATACTCAGCCTTGGTGATCGCTGGTGTTCTTTCCATATCTGACGCTGTCAAACTCGTTTGCGAACGGGGCCGATTGATGCAACTCGCCTGCGACGAACGTCCCGGCGGCATGGCGGCACTCATTGGCATCGACGAAGTCACTGTCGCAGAGATTTGCCGTGAAGCTGGCGTCGATGTGTCGACTGTCAACACTCCCGAACAGATCATCATCGCTGGCGAGCACCGCGGCCTAGCCGTTGCACTTGACATGGCATCCGCTCGCGGCGCCAAGAAAGCCATCCCATTGAGCGTGAGCGGGGCGTTTCACTCCGGATTGATGTCCCCAGCTCAAAGTGGCCTCAATGAAGCAATCGAATCCGTCGAATTCAACGACCCGATGGTTCCCGTTGTTGGTAACGTCGACGCTAGGCCTTTGAACACCACCGCCGAAGTCAAAAACGAGCTTCGCCGGCAGCTCACTTCCTGCGTCCAGTGGAGTAACGGCATCCGCCACATGCTTGATAACGGCGTGAACGAGTTCGTGGAGATGGGAAACGGCAGGATCCTCAGCGGAATGATCAGACGCATCGACCGGCGCGCTAATGTCGTAAACCTCAGCGAGTACGACAGCGTCTGCAACTACGCAGCCGCCTAATCACCGCTGCCAGTCTGAATACGGAGTCGTTCGCAAGAACGCGCCGATGTATCAATGTCCACGCGACCGCCAAATCCTTCGCTGTCCCGCGAACAAATGAGGAATTGGTTATCCGCCGCCTCGACCGAGACGCGATCACCAAGATCGTTGACCGCCGATCCCAATGCCCCAGATTTCGAGGCGATACCCCGAGACAAAACCGGAGGGCGTGCTGCCGCGGTCCTTTCCCTGTACGAAGCTGACCTGACCAACCGACCTGCGGTGCAATGCATCGATTGGGTTACGTCAGAGATGCGCCTGAACCGAAAGCTGCGTCAATTTGCTTACTCAATCGCAGCCGAGGTCGAAGACAGACGCCCCGAACTCGACCGACAATTGAATCGCTATTCGCGTCGATCACCAATGTCTGACACATTGCCGGTCGTTCGCAACATCCTCCGAATCGCCTTGGTCGAGATGGATTTGTACCCCAAAACTAGCATCGCCGTCATCATTAGTGAAGCGGTAAAACTCTCGCAGATGTTCGATACCCATGGCAGTGGAAGGTATGTCAACGGCGTGCTCGGTGCGTTGGTTCGGGAAGGCGCACGCATGGACGGTCGCCGGTAGCGCCCATGGTCGTCGCCAAATGTATTGCGAAGCGCGGTATATAATTGCGCTTGCGTCGTCATTCGATGACGTAACGAAAAATAGGTGATAACACGAGCTCGGGAGAGCAAAAAACGATGTCAACAATTTTGGATCGAGTGCGGGCCATTACGGCCGAAAAATTGAGCGTCGACGAAGGCGACATCACACCCGAATCGTCGTTCACCGAGGATCTCGATGCGGACTCGTTGGATGTCGTTGAATTGATCATGGCGTTCGAGGAAGAGTTCAGTACCGACGACAACCAAGTCGAGATCTCTGACGACGACGCTGAGTCGATTCAGACGGTGCAGAACGCCGTCGACTACCTGGGTGGTAAGGGTGTCACTGGTTAACCGATCATCGGTTACCGAAAATTCTCGACGCACACCGCATTGACAGCGCGTGTTTGCTGGGCAACCCGATAGAGCGGCGCAGGCAATCTACGCCGCTCTGCCTTTTGTTGCGAACTCCCGCGACAGACAGTGGTAGGCTTGGATACCGAAATGGTTGCGGAAAAATCCGAGCGTGAAACGTCGGCGGCAGAAAAACTGATATCGATCGCCGCAGAAGTAGCAAGTTGCCATAAGTGCCCGTTGGCACGAACGCGCACTAACACGGTGCCCGGCGAAGGTTCGCCGACCGCTGAAATAATGTTCGTAGGCGAAGGTCCGGGTCGCGATGAAGACGAGTCGGGTCGCCCGTTCGTGGGCCGGGCTGGGAAATTGCTCGACGAGTTAATCGCATCGCTACCGATGCGCAGGGAAGATGTCTACATCGCCAATATCGTCAAGTGTCGACCACCCAATAATCGTGACCCCGAACGCGCAGAAGTCGATCAATGTTCAAACTATCTCACTCAACAGATCGAGATCATCGATCCACTCGTGATCGTGCCATTGGGACGACACGCTCTGGGCTGGTTCATGCCGGAACTTCGGATAACACAAAGCAACGGCAAGATATTCCGTAATGGCAACCGAGTGTTGATGCCACTGCTACACCCGTCGTCTGGTCTTAGGAACCCCGAACACATGCGGATGTTGCGAGATGGAATCCACAACCTTGGGGACGCAATTTTGGAAGGTATCCGAGTCCGTAATCAAGTCGTCGAACACTCTCAACATCCGATCGAAAGATCGCATGAGCCACCACAGGATCGACCGTCGGCTGACTTGGTGGCAGAATCGGTAGAAGCCAATATTGAACCTCAATCTACGGTCGTGGAGCAAGCCGAAGCGGTCGCTTTGACCGAGACGGTGCCCACGGAAAAATCCGAATCTGTCGTCAACATTTTTGAACGGTCCCAAACTCAAGACGAAATTCAAGCGGAATTAAAACGGCAACGCGCCATCGAAGCGGCTCAGGAAGCCGCAGACAAACAAGAGGATAAGTTAGTGATCGATGATCGACAAGCGTCGTTTTTCTAACCGTGAAATTCTCCGTCGATTCCTACATTCAAGAACTTGTTGGGCGCGATTCGCACGCGCTTGAAACGAACAAACGAAACCAAGGCTGATAAATGCTTCAAAACGATTTCGAATATGGTGAGTCATCCGTCCGGATCATCCCATTAGGTGGGCTCGGTGAAGTCGGCATGAACATGATGGTTGTCGAAACTGACGACGACATGTTGGTGATCGACTGTGGCGTGCAGTTCCCGGAATACAACACTCCCGGTATCGAACGAGTGATTCCGAATATGGAGTACGTCCGGAAACATCGCGAACGCGTCCGTGCCGTTCTGGTAACCCACGGTCACCTCGACCACATCGGCGGTTTGCCACACCTTATGCGCTTCGTTGACGCACCGATCTACGCACCGCGACTGGCCGCTGAGATGATACGGCGAGAGCTGAAGAAATCCGGTGGGCGGAATATGGCGAACGTCCAAGTAAATTCAGTCAGGCTTGAAAGGGACTACCGATTCGGCGAATTCAACGTCCAGTGGATCGGTGTTTGTCACAGCATCCCAGACTCGTGCAGCATCTACTTGGATACGCCGCAAGGTGGCATCCTGCACTCCGGCGACTTCAAGTTCGACAACGAACCGATGCTTGGCCTACCGACGGACTACCAAGCGCTAAGCGAAATCGGCCAACGTGGGGTTCGCCTGCTGCTCTCCGACTCAACAAATGCCGAAGACGAGGATCTCGCGTTCGGACCGTATCGCTGCGGTCGCGCTTTACCGAGCAATCGCCGAAGCAAAAGGACGAGTGATCATCGCCAGTTTTTCGACCCAGATCGCCCGGGTTCAGATGGTCGTAGATGCCGCGTACGAGCTCGGTAGACGCGTGGCAATCATCGGTAGAAGCATGATTGAGAGCAGTCGATTGGCTGAAGAGGTCGGCCACTTGCATATTCCATCGGGCGTGAAAATCAGCATCAACGAAGCAAATAGCCTACCGGATGGTGAGGTGATCATCATGACCACGGGCAGCCAAGGCGAGTTTGAAGCTGGGGTGTCTCGTATGGCAAGGGGCGACCATCGTGAGGTGAAATTGGTTGAAGAGGACACTCTGATACTTTCGGCGCGGACGATACCCGGAAACGAGATGGCAGTCAACGAGATCATGAACAACCTTGCGCGTCGCAATGTGCGGGTGATCACGGCCGGTTCGCGACCGGTACACGTTTCTGGTCACGCGAAACAGGACGAACTGAAAACGATGTTCAGCATTCTGCGGCCGGAGTACTTCACGCCTATCCACGGCGAGTTCCGAATGTTGAAGGCGCACAAAGAGATCGCAATCGACATGGGAGTACCGGAAGACAACGTGAACCTGATCCTTGACGGTGATGTTCTCGAGATGGATGTCGACAATGTGACCGTTGCCAACAAGGTGCCGTCAGGTTACGTCCTCATTCAAGGCCAGGGTGAATGGGACATCGACTCCAGCGTGATGGAAGAACGCAAGTCATTGGCCAGCGACGGCATCGTCGTGGTGTCGATCGTGCGGGACGAAAAGTTAGTTGTTGAAAAGCCGCGAATTGTTACCTCCGGATTCGTGGATGCCTCAGATGAAGCGCGATTGATCCGAGATGCTTCGCAAGCGTTAGCTCAAGCTATTGAACCAGTATTGGCCGATCTCGTAGATTGGAATGAGATGGACCGACTAGTTCGGGCGTGCTTGGGCCGGTTCTTTCTACCGCAGGACCAAGCGAAGGCCGTTGATTTTGGTGACCGAAATTGAGCTACAACCTGGACGCGCTAACTGACGAAAACGTAATCGACGACGAGACCGCTGCTCGTCCGACCAAGCGCGAAAAGAAAAGCAAGCGAGCCGCGGGTAGAAACCTATCCAAAACCCAAAATCCAGACGGGGAGGCGAGCCAGTCTGACGGAGTGATTACCCATAAATCACTTATTCGTCACGGGATTTTCTTCACTCTGTCGTTGGCGGCGGCGGTCGCGAGTTACCTGTTCCGTGATGAAATCATGTCGAACGTGGGATTCGGAGCAATGCCCATAGGTCTTTGGGCAATACTCTTCACCTACCTATTGATTACGAACACAAGTTGGCTCATCCGGAGGTACCGTGAGACGATCTCGTCCCTCATCGTGGTGTTCGGCGGTGTGGCGGTGTTAGGAATATTCGACGCTCCTTTGGGCGCGACAACCGGAGCCACCATGGGTGGTCGCCTCGGCGAGATTCTTGCTCGAGAGCCGTACGAGTGGCATCGCTACGACCTCGTGCTTTGGCAGCAGGCGTTGGCGTGGGTACGGGCCGGAGCGCTGTTCACGATTGGCGCCGCGGCCCAGTTCCCAACAGCGTTTGGGATCGCGATGAAAGTCATCTGGATCGGCGTTCTGATGGTGGTATCGGCCTCCGTCGGCTTATTCATGATGGCAGGCGGAGCAGCCACCAGCATGGCCAGCAAGCGCAAAACCGTCAAACCCGAAATCGAAGCGTCAACCAACCCTCAGGCACCGGATCCGCAGGGCGTTTCGGCAAATGAAGACATTTTCGCAATTCAACCAACCGCGACCGAGAAGAACGCGGAAGTCTCATTTGGGCGTGAAGATTCAAGCGACGCGGTCGTTGTGATGGGAAACACTTTTGTCGTCGATGATGATGACTTTGACGAAGATGAAAAGTTCGAAGATGACGAATGGAACTCGATCGGATCAACATCAAAGTTCAACATGCCCAACGACTTGTCCCAAGATTCGGAAGACGATGCAGGTTTCATTGAAGTTGGCGGTTCAGTCGGTGACGTTGCCGTGACAAGTTTCGATCAAGACTTATTTGCAGAAACTGAGACCGTGGAGGATGGTGAGGGGCATTCACCGAGCCGAGATGCCGACGAGGTGCTGCAGATGATCACTTCAGGGGCGGCGGTCGAAGCAGCGATGAACGCGTTCCCGTGGCATCTACCGACTCTCGAGTTTCTGGCAGATCCTCCTACAGGAGGCGTAGCGACGACCGAGATTAAGGCGACAAGCGATCTGATCGAAGAGACTCTCGCCGATCATAGTATCGCGGTGACTGTGGATCAAGTTAGGGTCGGTCCGACGGTAACGATGTATGGACTGAAGCCAGGTTGGAAGGGAAGTGGACCGCGATCGAACAGCGTGCGACAACGGGTCCGTGTCGACACGATCCTCAATCGTGAGAAGGACATCGCGTTGGCATTGTCATCGCCGAACATTCGATTTGAATCGGTGGTGCCCGGCTCCTCAGTAGTTGGCATAGAAGTCCCCAATGCGCGACCAACGCCAGTCAATCTGCGCACAGTCATGGATTCCGAGGAGTGGTCCGAGTTCGTCGACGATGCAGCGTTGCCAGTGCCGTTGGGAATGGGTAGTGGCGGCAATCCGGTAATGGCCGACTTCGCGAAAATGCCCCACACGCTCGTCGCTGGCGCCACAGGTTCAGGCAAGAGCGTCTGCATGAACACAATCGTCACTGGCTTGCTTATGACGCGGACGCCTGTCGAGTTACGAATGGTGATGATCGATCCTAAGCGCGTCGAGTTGACGCCGTACCAAGGGGTCCCGCACCTGCATACGCCAGTCATCGTGGAACCCGAGCGCGCCGTCAAGGCGCTCAAGGCGCTAGTGAAGGAGATGATGGACCGGTTCTCTACGCTCGAGGCGACGGGAGTGAAGAACATCACCACGTACAACGAGAAGAGCACGTCAACGATGCCGTATCTGTTGATTCTCGTTGATGAGTTGGCCGATCTGATGTTGACGGCTTCGAACGAGGTCGAGCAGCTTTTGGTTAGATTGGCGCAACTTGGTCGCGCGACTGGCGTGCATCTAGTGGTCGCGACTCAACGTCCGTCGGTAGATGTGGTGACCGGGTTGATCAAGGCGAATTTCCCGTCACGGGGTCAGCTTTGCTGTCGGGTCGCAAGTGGACAGTCGGACGATTTTGGATGCCACCGGTGCAGACAAACTCCTCGGCAAAGGAGACATGCTTTACAAGCCGATCGATCTGAGCCAACCTGTTCGAGTGCAGGGCGCATTCTTGGCCGAGGAAGAGATCGAGTCAATCGTCGAATTCTGGAAACAGGTCGGCGCTCCACCGTTGCCGCAACTTGATGTTGATGGCGATGATGACGACAGCAGTTATTCGATCCCAGGACCATCGGAAGACAACGGTGATGCGTTGTTTATGCAAGCGTCGGCAATGGCAAAGAGCCAAAAAACGCTATCGACCTCACTATTGCAACGACGCCTACGAATCGGATATCCCCGTGCGGCACGGTTGATGGATGAGTTGGAAGATGCAGGGATCGTCGGCCCTGGCGAACCTGGAAAACCGCGGCAAGTAATTGCGAATGGCTGATTGCCGCTGAGGTTGCGAAGGGCATGACCCTGGTTCGTCTTCAGCATTCAATCGCATCAGCAACGCGGTCCCACTAGGGCAGAACCATCGCCTATGCGGTTTTCGCGACGTGGCTTTACAATGCTGGAGAGTGGTCAAATCCAACGGGCCAATTCGACCAGTAAACGTTTCGCTTAGTGACGATCAAACCTCTATATCCGGAATTCAATGAAGGTCCAGAATCTGACGAACAACCGGAAATCGAAGAGCATCCGCCGGTTGATCTCGAGGGCGAATTTTCGAACTGCTTGATCTGTGGTTCAGATCTGGAAAGTTCTGAGGCATTTCAGCGATTCCGAGTTTGTCCGACCTGTGGATTTCACTACAACATCGCAGCCCGGGCGCGGATTGCGGCTCTGATCGATCCTGGCACGTTCGTCGAATCGCATCGCTGGATTTCATCGATTGACCCGTTAGTATTTTCGCCGCGCGTGTCGTACCAGGTCAGAGTGTTGAACGACCAAGTTCGCACCGGGTTGTCGGAAGCGGCCGTGACCGGCGTGGGAAACATCGGCGGCACTCCGTGCGCCATTATCGCCATAGAATTCGGATTTCTTGGTGGAAGTATGGGTTTGGTTGTCGGCGAAAAGGTCGCGAGGATGATCGAGGAAGCAGCACAACAGCGCCTCCCAGTCGTCACCTTCGCCACAAGTGGTGGCGCACGCCTACAAGAAGGCCTCCTGTCTTTGACGCAGATGGCAAAGACTGTCGTGGCGTCAAAAAACCTTCGCGCGCGCGGCTTGCCGATGATTACGGTCTTGGCCAATCCATCTTCGGGCCAGATCCTGTCGAGCTTTGCGTCTTTGTCGGACATCCGTATCGGAGAACCTGGTGCTCACATCGCATTCGCCTCGTTGGGCACTCTGCGCGAGGTAGAGGAAACACCGTACGTTGGTGAACATGCCAACGCGGAGACGATGTTGTCGCACGGTCATCTTGATATGGTAGTCAGTCGCCGTGAACAGCGCGACAACCTCGCGACGATACTGGATCTTTTCGAAAAAGGCGTCAAGAACGAAGTGCGGCCTCAACGTCGATCCGTTCGGTACCGTCCGACTCGTCACGATGCGTGGGAATCGGTGCGCTTGAGCCGGCGAGAGGACCGGCCCAAGGCATCCAACTACATCCCATTGATATTCCGCAACTTCGTCGAGTTGCATGGCGATCGTTCTGGTGCCGACGACGGCGGCGTGACGATAGGTATTGGTCATTTAGGGATTTTCCCGGTAATGGTGATCGCTCACGAACGATTGTCGGAGGGCGATCATGAGGAGTCGGGGGATGATGCTACTACGGCATCGTTCACTGAGAGATTTGGGTATGCCGACTTGAATCGCGGCGGCCTCGGAGTGAACGGCTTCCGCAAGGCCCGTCGGGCGGCGGCCATGGCTGGTGATTTCGGCTTCCCACTCGTGGTGATGATCGACACACCGGGGCCGAAACTCGCTGTTGTGGAAGAGCTGAACGGCCTAGCAAGCGAAATCGCCGAGATGATCAATGCGATGTTGGGCGTCGAAACGCCGGTAGTTTCGGTAGTGATCGGTGAAGGTGGATCGGAGGCGGCATTGGCATTTAGCATCGCCGATCGATTGCTGATGATGGAGAACACGATCTACACGCCGATTTCTCCAGAGGCTGGCGCAGCAACAGAGTTGAGGGACCGCGCTCGAGCACCTGAGGTAGCTCGTTCACTCCGTCTCACGTCGTACGATGCGTACTACATGGGGATAGCGGATCGATTGATTGCCGAGCCTGAAGGCGGCGCGAATGCGAACCCGATGGGTGCGGCACGAACACTGCGGCAGGTGTTGATTTCAGAGATCGGTCAATTGAAGAAACGCAATCCACGCGTGCTTGCCCGTCAACGGCAAAGAAGATTCCGGCACATCGGCGAATACGGCCCACAGTTCCGCGCCGCGGTGCGTTCGGAGTTGAGCTCGTGGACTTCGGCGGTCAGCGATCGTATGCGCCGTGTGTTTGGGGGCGGATCGCAAAAGGAAAACGACGAACCGACGACGGAAGAATGAATCGTGCTCGAACCGCTATTGAAGTTGACCTGATGCTCGGTGATAACATTACTTTCATCGTCTACGAGAGCGGTTCCCTGATGTTTGAAACCCCACTCCCGTCATTGGACGGTACGACGCTACAGTGAATGTCTGGCGAAAGCGAAGAACCCGGCGAAAGTAGGAGCGACAGAGCGTGTCGTTGCGATGAAACACGCGCTCTAGACGCGGAAGTGCGGGCGGCTGTGGAGCGTGGCGTGGTGTTCCAAGACCCCTTTACCGCCTACTTGGATCCTGAAGCAGTTATCGAGGCCGAAGCCTGGGTTGGTGCGGGCACTCACATCTTGGGAAACACCCGGATCGAACATGGCGCACGCGTCGGCCCTAATGCGATCATCGAGGACTCCCGAGTTGGCAAAGGCGCAATCGTTCAACCATTTTCCAGCGTCACGGGCGGTTCAGTCGTCGGACCCGGCGCGGTTGTCAGAGAGCGTACCGAACTACGCGGCAGCGTAATCTCGGGCGAAGCCGAGATCGGCCCGAATGCTATTGTCGAAGATTCCCGAATCGCTTCGAAGGCCAAGGTCGGACCGTTCTGCCGAGTACGAGCAGGATCTGAAATCGGCTTCGATGCGTATATTGGTACGCAAGCAGAAGTCAAAGCAAGCCGTATAGGTGATGGATCAAAAGTCGGGCATTTCTCGTTCGTTGGCGATGCGATTCTCGGTAATGCTGTGAATATCGGCGCTGGATCGGTGACAGCAAACCACGACGGCCAGCAGGTCCAGAAGACGGTGATCGAAGACCGAGTGTCCATCGGTGCCGGATGCGTGCTCGTCGCCCCCCTGCGGCTAGGTACCGGCGCACGTACGGGCGCTGGTGCAGTAGTGACGCGTGACGTCGCTGATGGCGAATTGGTGCTAGGAGTACCGGCGCGACTGAAGGCGATGCATTAGAAGTCGATTCAATGAAAATGGATTTATCGAGGTTTATGCGCCATCAATGCGGTGGTGCGTGCCATGAACAAGCGGGATATGAAATGAAAGATGCGGACGATCCTTTAAGCCGCTGTAGATGCTTACAATTTGGCGCGATGCTCAGAGGTTGCACAAATGGTTGTTGATTGGGTGCCTTGGGCGGTGCTTATCGCATCTGCTTTTGCCTATGGGTTGTTGACCCTCGCGTTGAGCGCCTTGCAACCGCAAGGTCTCGCCGCGGTGCTCGGGATGGCCTCGACCGAATCATCCAATGATGTGAATCCGGGCAGTGCCGGGGACTACAGGGCAACGCGTATTGTGGTGACGACGTTTAGAAGCGCGTCGTTCATTGCCATAGTGATATCGGCGCACGGCGCGGCGGGAACGGTCTATTCTCCGTCAAATGAATTCCTTCTACCTCTAGTCGTGGCGGCCGCGGTTTTGGTTGGCGTCGTTGCCTACCGAATGATGCTCAATCGGATGGCGAACGCGTGCTACGAGGATGTGAAGATTTGGTTGGCGCCCGTAATTTGGCCGGCGCGCTTTATTGGTCGCCGCTTGAGATTGAACCGAGTAGCGAACTACATGCAGGATGCAGAGAACTCTGGGGAATCAACTGATGAACCGGCTGAGAACGTGTTAAATGTTCTGCACAACCTGTCATCGAAAGATCTGCGAGCCGATGACGTAATGCTGCCAATCTCCGAGACCGTTGCGGTTCACGCTGACACCCTCCTTGAAGACGTGGTCATGATGATGGATCAACTGGATATCGACGACGTGGTCGTGTACGACAAGACGGTTGACGAGGTCTTGGGCACCATTGAACGGGCGGATGCGCTGCAAGGGTTAAGAGAAGACGGTGACGGCACATCTGTCTGCCGGGAATGGATCAGCCACTCGACATTCGCTGTTCCGCTGACACAACAAGTTGCAACGCTTTTCGATGACTTTAGGAATCGAATGGATGAGACTGCTGTCATGCTCGATGAAGAAGGCAAGGTAGCTGGGATACTGACCTTCTCCAATTTGATGGAACACCTGCTGAGCGACGTTAATTTGGTGAACGAGAGTTCAGAGGCGTAAAGTACTCGGTCTGGGGCACTGTACGCCGCACCATACAGCTTTCTGCGTCCCAACGACGATCCATGACGTTGATGCCTTCGAGCTTGGGCCGACGATAGCGCGGACAGGTGGTTTCGCCTCGTCGGATTTGAATCCGTAGCGAGTGACTCCTTCGGGTTGACTCGCCCCGTCCGAAAAGATCTTTGAGGCGGGATACCAGACGTAATCGAGAACCGTGATAACGGCGCAGGATTCAAGGTCTCGCGAACCTCGAGCTGTTGCAAGTTGGTTGGATCCAAAAGAATCAGCGCTCGAGCCTTGCCGAATCAGAGGATCGGGGATGTGGGCAACCATCGCCGTCAACCTGAGCCGTCCGTCGCGAACGTAGCCTAAGGCAAGCCCCAACTCGGTATGCCGATACTTATCCCTTTGCTCACGCCATCAACTAACGTTGTGGAGGATCGAGATGTCTGCTGAGGGAGCTCTAACCTTAGCTAGGCAGATTATTGCGAATGTTCTAGGAGCGAATCAGAAGCCGCGAAGGCGCTTAGACGCGCAAAAGCACTTTAGAGGTTATGCGCCTCTAAAGTGCTTGCGTTGGAGGGTGGTTGAAGCGTGAAGCCGATTTTGCCGGCTTCACGCTTCGAAGGGTTCTACTGCCCGGGGGCGTCACCCTTGGCGTTGACGATGATCAACGTCACAGTGGCTACAGAACCTTGGTCGCCCGTAGCGACTAAGGAGTTTACGCTGCCAGCGGTGTAGGTGCCGGAGTCGAGGGTGACTCTGACCGCGAATGCGCCACTTGCGTTGGCGGTTGCACTGCCGATTGAGTCATCGACGGTACCACCCGTAACGGTTAGCGAAACTGCTTCGCCGCTGTTAAAGCCAGCGCCAACGATGTCGGCTGGCGTGCCGGATGCCACGTAGATGATCGTCGGGATCGCGAACGTAGTGTCGAGGGCCTGAAGGTCAGCGGCGTTGTCAGAGCCTGGAGGGCCGGGGGCGCCTGGAGGGCCAGGGTCTCCGGAAGTGCCTTGCGAGCCTTTAGTGCCTTGTTTACCTTGCGGACCTGGAGGGCCGGCAAGTCCTGGGAGGCCTTGAGGACCTTGGACGCCTGGTAGACCTGGTTCTCCCGGTACACCTGGTGCTCCTGATTCTCCCGGCGCTCCTGGCTTACCCGGATCTCCTGGGAGGCCTGGCGCACCCGGTGCTCCCGGTGCTCCTGCCTCGCCCGGTGCTCCCGGCTCGCCCGGTGCTCCCGGCTCACCCGGTGCTCCCGGTGCTCCTGGTTCGCCAGGGTTACCCGGTGCTCCCGGCAGACCTGGTTCCCCTTGGGGGCCAGCGCCGGCAAGGCCGATGATCGAGATGATGACTGCAAGAACCGAGATTACGGCGATTGCTGTCAGTACTCGGTTCTCTTGCACGAAATCCATCGGGCTGCGCGATTCATTCATGAGGACCCGTCCTCCAATCTGATGGTGTCAGATTACTAGCTTGTCTCAAGCAATTATTGTCTTGATCGTTCGGCTTCAGGAACTCCTGATCGCCGTAGACCACGATGTTTGGCATCAAAGCACGGGCTCAGCCGTACTTCGCCGTTCACGTCCTTCGATGCACAATGAATAATCTTATGCCTGTTTAAGCGCGTGTGTCAAGACGGCTCGTGCAGCCAAACAGCGTATTCGAGTGCAAAGATGAACGATCCTTGGCACGATAGATGCATGTTACATGAAAGAACTCGCTCCGCGCCCGCGTCGCGAGAGTTGGTTTGGGAACTTTGCATCAGCTCTCCGGAAAGGTCCCGAAATCGGGACGATTCGGTGGAATTATCGAGCCCGGGATGGACAGTTGCAGTGGGTAATGCAACATCGGGTGATGATTCGGAGAGGTTGAGTGGTATCCTTATCGGTTGAGCTAAACGAGTTAGCGGAAGTAGAAACAGAGAAAGTACGAGCTGGCAGAGCGGAGCAGGGGTAGATCGTCAAAAATCCCACTTGCGAAAACCGCCAGCATGAAAGAGACAAGATTGGACGCCCAAGCGAAAACGCAGACAATAGAGAAGTTTCGCAAGCACGAAAAGGATACCGGTTCCACTGAGGTTCAGATCGCAATTCTGACCGACCGGATACGGGAACTTACCGAGCACTTCAAAGTGCACAAGCACGACGCCGCAGGACGGCGCGGTTTGCAAATGATCGTTGGGAAACGCCGACGATTGCTCAGATACCTCGCGACAGAGGATGTTCGAAGGTACCGAACGCTCATCGAAGCGTTGGGCCTTCGCGGTTGAACGCCTGGCACTGAGGCGCCGCTCACCGCTCACAGAAGCGCACGCGGCCGCCGAACTGCCAATTTCCTGCCGTTCGCCGCGCGATCACATGCGCACGCTACATTCAATTGAGCGCGCCGTGTGACAGCCATCGTCACGCTGACACCAACCAATCAGATCAAATCGACTATCTCGCGCGTTTTGCGCGTTTTCGTCAATACCCATTGCAAGATCGTTGCGCTCCCACAACAACCACGAATTGGCACCTAAACAAGGTTTGCTGAGAGAAAGAAAAAAGAAAGCATAGAAATGACTCAAAAATTCGATATCGAGGTCGGAGGACGATTAATGTCGTTCGAGACCGGAAACCTCGCGCCACAGGCCGGAGGAGCGGTGACACTTCGCTACGGCGACCTTGTCTTGCTCGCTACGGCGACCGCGAGCAAAACTCCGCGTCAGGGCGTCGATTTCCTGCCTTTGACGGTGGATGTCGCTGAAAAAGCGTATGCGGCTGGGAAAATGCCCGGTGGTTTCTTCAAGCGCGAAGGGCGACCAAGTTCGGAAGCGATTTTGGCCGCTCGATTGTGTGACCGCCCGCTACGTCCGCTGTTTCCCAAAAACTTCCACAACGAGACACAGATCATCATTACGATACTGGCGGCAGACGAGGTAAATCCCCACTCAACGTTGGGAATCGTCGGCGCGTCGGCAGCACTGGCAATCTCGGACATCCCGTTCGACGACCCTGTCGGGGCGTGCATCATCGGCTACATCGGCGGTGAACTCGTGGTCAACCCGACCTACGAGGAACTCGAGAAGTCCGCGCTTGAATTGACGGTTGCAGGAACCTCGGACGCCATCATGATGGTTGAAGCTGGCGCGAAATTCGTCTCGGAGGAGGTAATCCTCGAGGCGTTGAAGTTAGCTCAAGAAGTTAACGGCGAAATCGTTTCCCACATTAGAGACATCCAAGCGGAAATCGGCAAGACGAAGTGGGCAGCACCCGAAGCGACCGACGAAGAACTCGCAGCTCAGGCAGCGACGAGGGAGCGCATAGGCAACTCAATTGTTGAAGCACTCAATCTCGGCGGAGGCAAGGAAGCACGCGAAGAAGCCGTCAAGCAGATCATGTCCGACGCTAAGGCGGAACTGACATCGGGCGAAGACGCGTTTGACGCCTTGCATGTTCAGTCCGAGTTGTATTCCTTGGAAAAGGAAGCGGTACGCCAGGGAATCTTGGAAGAAGACCGCCGTCCCGACGGACGAAATCTAGAAGACTTGCGACCCCTCGACTCCATGGTCGGCTACCTCCCGCGTGTGCACGGCTCTAGCGTCTTCCAGCGAGGCGAAACCCAAGTTCTTGGCGTGTTGACGTTGGCCTCGGCCGCGGACGCGCAACGCCTTGACAACCTTTCGCCGACTACGACTAAGCGGTTCATGCACCACTACAACTTCCCGCCCTACTCGACTGGCGAAGCCGGAAGATTCGGTTTCACGGGACGACGCGAGGTAGGACACGGCATGTTGGCCGAACGGGCGCTCAGCCCGGTGGTCCCAGCAGAAGACAAGTTCCCGTACACATTGCGTTTGGTTTCTGAAGTCATGGCGTCGAACGGTTCATCCTCGATGGCCAGCGTATGTGCAGGCTCTTTTGGCGTTGATGGACGGCGGTGTGCCGATATCCGCGCCCGTCGCCGGCATCGCTATGGGGCTCATCACTGGTGAAAACGGTGTCGCCAAGGTCCTCACAGACATCCAAGGCGCGGAAGACCACGCCGGTGATATGGACTTCAAAGTAGCGGGAAGCCGAGACGGCATCACCGCGTTACAGATGGACATCAAGGTCAAAGGCATCACTTACGAAATCATGTCCGAGGCACTTGAGCAAGCTCGAAACGCCCGACTCCAGATCCTCGAGCACATGGAGCAGACCATCGCTGCACCTCGAACTGATCTGCGTGACGGTGCTCCAAGAATGACGACGATCAAGGTTCCGACCGACAAAATCGGTATGGTCATTGGCCCAGGCGGTTCCAACGTTCGCGGAATCCAGGAAGAGTTCGGCGTCAGCGTCGACATTCAGGACGACGGCAGCGTCACCATTGGTGGCTCACAAACGGACAAGGTTCAGGGTGCCATCGAAAGCATTCGCACGATGACAAAAGGTGTTGAACTCGGAGAACTGTACAAAGGCAAGGTCGTCAAGATCATGGATTTCGGTTGCTTTGTCAACCTGATCCCCGGAAAAGACGGCATGGTTCACATCAGCGAACTGTCCGACACCCGTGTCCCCGACGTCCAATCAGTGGCCAATGAAGGCGACGAATTGGATGTCATGGTAGTGAACGTTGACCCGAATGGTCGCGTTGACCTGTCCGTACGAGCGGTCATCGAAGAACGCAGCCATGGCGATCACGATCGAGCACTCGAAGAAGCAGTTGGACGACGCCGACCAAGTAATCGTGGCGGGCGCGGCGGTTCCGACCGTGGCGGCCGTAGCGGCGGTGGCGGTGGTGGCCGCTTCGACCGTGGCGGCGGCGGCGGCGGCGGCGGACGCGACAACTTTGATCGCGGCGGCCGGCGAGACGGCGGCTTCGGCGGTGGCGGTTCCGACCGCGGCGGCCGGGGTGGCGGTGGCGGCGGTGGTCGATTCGACCGCGGCGGCGACCGACGCGACGACTCCGATCGCGGCGGCCGGCGAGACGGCGGCTTCGGCGGTGGTGGCCGACGCGGTGGCGGCGGCCGGCGAGACGACTTCGGCGACGGTGGCGCAAGGCCGCGACGTCGCATGATCTCGCGCGACTGATAGCTTAGAATCTAGACAATCAGAATGGTTGTCTTAGACAACTGAAAGCAGACTACACCCAAAGTTGAAATGACCGATATCACCGTCGCAGTTAACGGAGTGTTGGGCCGGATGGGCTCCACCGTGTTGAACGCGGTGGAGCTGGAACCAGGAATGGTTCCCGTTGGAGGCGCCGACGCGTTAGCAGGCGACGGGAAATCGGTCTCAACTTTGGGAGGCATGGATCTGCCTTTGGCGTCGCACCTTGACATCCTTTTTGGAACTGTCATCCCCGACGTCGTCATCGACTTCACTAACGCCGAAGGCGGCAGCGCCGCGATGCGTACCTGCATCGCTAACGGGGTTCGGTGTGTATCTGGTTCGACCGGTTTGACGCCTGAAGAGCTATCCGCTATCGGAGATCTCGCGAGCCAAGCGAACGTCGGAGTGATATCCGCTTCGAATTTTGCCTTAGGTTGCGTGGTCCTCATACACTTGGCACGTATCGCGTCGAATTACTTTGACTACGCCGATGTCATTGAGAGCCATCACGAGATGAAGATCGATGCTCCTTCCGGCACCGCTATCTCCATCGTCCAAGCAATGCTCGAGGGTAAAGGCGATGATTTCGATCAAAACATCGTCGAGAAAGAGTTGCTTAGTGGCACCCGCGGCGGATCGACCGGCGGCATCAACGTTCACAGCGCAAGGATGCCGGGACGAGTTGCCCGACACGAAGTAGTGTTTGGCGCTCTCGGACAAACTCTCACTTTGCTCCACGATTCAATCAGCCGCGACAGCTTTATGCCGGGAGTAATGCTCGCGGTACGGCGAGTCGTGGACGAAAAGTCAATGATTGTGGGCCTCGACAAGGTCCTCGGATTCTCTGATTAAAACGGCCAACCGGCAAGTTGAAATCACGCGACAGTGAACCGCGTCAGAGTTCGCATCTTAGCCTGGAGAACGTGAGATGCAGGCATCAGATCTTGAAATCGCTATCGTAGGTGCAACTGGCGCAGTCGGCGCGGTTGCGCTCAAGCTTTGACTGAACGCCGTCACCCAGCTGACAAGGTGCGATTGCTCGCATCCAAGAGATCTCACGGCAAGCAACTGGAATACGCCGGACAGATGCTGACGGTCAAGGAGGCAACACCCGAATCGTTTGACGGGGTGGATGTGGCCTTAATCTCTGCTTCATCTGAAGTGAGTCTTGCACTCGCTCCCGAAGCGGTCAAGCGCGGCGTGTTGGTAATCGATGACGGCTCCGCGTATCGCATGGAACCAAGCGTCCCGCTCATCGTTCCCGAGGTCAACGGCGAAGATGTTGAATGGCAATCCGGAATCATTTCAATTCCCAACTGCACTACTACTCCGTTGGTGATGGCGCTCGCCGCTCTAAGACAACGTGCGAAAATCAGCAGTGTAACCGTTTCAACGTACCAATCAGTCACCGGTACTGGTGCCGCCGCACGCGCCGAGTTGCTTGCACAGTCTCGAGACATGTTGAACGGTCAAGAGTTGTCGCCGCCAACCCAGTATCCGCATCGTATCGCTTTCAATCTGTTGCCGCAGGTAGACGACTTCGTGGACGACGACTACACGAAGGAAGAGCTCAAGATGCTCAATGAGTCGCGAAAGATACTTGGCGATCCGGGGTTGCGACTCGCCGCGACGTGCGTGCGTGTGCCAGTAGAGATTTCGCATTGTGAGTCTGTGAGTGTCGAATTCGATCGTCCGATGTCGGTGGATGTCGCTCGCGAGGCGCTCGCAGAGTTTCCCGGCATTATGTTGATGGATCGTCCGGGTGAATCTGTTTATCCGATGCCGTCGAACTCGGCAGACGAAGACGAGGTGATGGTTGGCAGAGTTCGACGCGATTTGGCGCATGAGAACGGAATCATCCTATGGCTGGCTGCAGACAATCTGCGGAAAGGCGCGGCATTGAACGCGTTGCAGATTATGGATGAGTGTGTCAAGCGAGATTGCGTCCGACCACGCGTCGCCGCGGCAGTCTAAACTACCGGATTCTCGGTTCAATCTACGCGTTTTAATCAAACGTGTCTTGGTCCGTTGAGTGATGTTAAGATTCGGTGCGAAAGGGAGATTGAAATGGCAGAAATTGGACGTGTTCTAACAGCAATGGTTACCCCGTTCACCGAGGACGGAGAGGTCGACTATCCGCAGGCTAGAAAGCTGGCGAAGTCCTTGTTGGCGTCCGGTTCGGATGGACTGGTGATTGGAGGGACGACCGGAGAGGCGCCTTCGATGTCGGACGAAGAGCGCTTGAAGCTCTTCGCAGAAGTCAAAAATGCGATCGGAGATTCCGGCGCGGTGGTAGCCGGCACGACTGACAACAACACCTACCGATCTATCGAAGTGTCAAGAGAGGCAGAAGCCGTTGGCGCCGACGCGATCTTGATGACGGTACCCGCTTACAACAAACCGACGCAAGGCGGATTGGTGAAACATTTCATCGCGATAGCCGAGGCGGTCTCGATACCCGGGATTCTCTACAACGTGCCGAGCCGCACGGCGTTGAACATGACGGCGGGAACGACTTTGAAATTGGCTGAGGTACCGAATATTGTGGGGGTCAAAGAGGCCAGTAGCGACGCGGATCAGATCGCGTACGTCATTAAAGGTGCACCCGACGGTTTCAATGTCTGGTCAGGCAACGACAACGAAACGTTCTCGATCGTTTCCACCGGCGGTTATGGCGTAGTCAGCGTTGCCAGCAACATCATCGGCAACCAAGTCAAAGGTCTTATCGGCGCAGTTTTGGAAGGCGACATCGAGCGCGCCGCTGGCGAACATCTTCGCTTGCTGCCGATTTTCAATGCGCTCTTCTTCATCACGAACCCGATACCCGTTCGCTACGCAATGAACCGGTCCGGCTTCAACGTGGGCCCGCCGCCACCCGATGCAAGCGGACGACGACGAGATGGCCGCGTTTGCAGCGCAGTTCGATCCGATCATGGATCAATACCGAATCGATCTCCCCAACGGTTGATGCAGTCATGACCGATAAGTCGCCGAAAAAAGTGCTCAAGGATCTCGGCGACGGGTTAATCATGCGTTCCGCGGTTCGCGAGGATGCTGACGCGCTCGCGGAGTTCTGCGCCCAGGTCTTCATGGACGAACCTTTGGCCGAATCTTCGGGCACGGGAACTGAAGCATATTGGATCGCGAACTGGATACGTGACCTCCTCGGTAAGCCGCATCCGACGTTGAAGCCCGATGACATCATCATTGTTGAGGATGTCGAAAAGGGATGTATCGCTTCGACCACGACGTATCTGACGCAGACGTGGAGCTACGACGGTGTGGAGTTTGAGATTGGTCGACTTGAGATTGTGGGCACGGATCGCGAATATCGAAACCGGGGCTTAGTCCGCGCACAGTTCGAATTGATGCACCGATGGGCCGAGGGAACGCGGTCATCTCATCCAGGTCGTCTTGGGCATTGCGAGTTACTACCGACTATTTGGTTACGAGTACGCCTTGCCCGCGGAAGGCGGGCGCTACACGCCGGTTGCTTCGCTGCCTCGTTGGGGAAAGGACGAGGAGCGTAGGTTCCAGTTGCGGGAACCCGTGGAGGACGACGTCCCGTTCATCACGCAAATATTGGAGGCTTCGACGCAGCGGTCGATGGTATCGGCGGTGTTTCGTGAGGAGGAGGTGAAGTATTTCACGTTCGATCGCAACCCCCGCAGCGCGGTTTGCCATAAGACAGCGATCTTGTGCAAATCTGATGGAGAGGGTTTGGGCGAGCCGATCGGCGTGCTCATGTACGCGATGATCGTCGAGGTCGATGAAGGCGTCAATTTACGGATGGAGATGTTAGAGCCGCGGTATTGGCGAGAAGCTCTGCCATCGTTGCTCAAAGAGTTGAGCGAATTGGCTGAGAAGGCTGCTGAAGGGCATCACGACCCGGAGCGCGAGATCAAGTCGATACGCCAGGATCTTCAACCTGACCATCCGGCATACGTCTTCGATGACGGGGCGTTGGGACACCCGCCGGAACGTCAGTACGGTTGGTACGTGAGAGTTCCTGATGTTGCCGCTTTTATGCAGAAAATTTCGCCGGCGTTGGAGGCAAGGATCGGGGCTACGTTGCACGCGGGAATCACTGGCAATGTCGAGATCCGCGTCGACCGCGACCGAATTTGCGATCAGATTTGAAAATGGCAGGATTACCAGCGTCGAACATCAGGAAGCAGTGCACCGGGAAAATGCATCTGGCGTGTGGATGGCATCTGCGAGATTTCCGGGTCAAACATTCCTCCCAGTTCTGTTCGGGTTCCGATCAGTCGCTGAAACGATTGCTGCGCATACCGATGCCAACGCCGGATCGAAGTCGTCACGGCATCTGGTGGAGACTATGTTTCCGAAGCGGTCATCGGATCTATCGCTAACCGTCAGTTAGATGAGCGTGAATCAACCGGTCGTATTCGTGTTGTGACCGTCGGGGGCGGCACTGGGTCGTCGGTCTTGCTTCGTGGGTTGAAGTGGTACGTCGATCGGATTGATATCACCGCGATCGTAACCACATTCGACGACGGTGGCTCGTCTGGGAGGTTGCGTGATGAGTATGGTGTCCCCGCATTAGGCGACATTCGACGGTGTATCGCCGCACTGATACCGCCGGGCACGAGGTTCGACAAAATCCGAGACGAGTTCGAATTTCGATTCGAAACTGCAACGCAGCTCAAAGGACACGCATTTGGGAATCTCATGTTACTGATGTCGATACAACGGAATGGCAACCTGACCAAAGCAATCGACTCCATTTCAGACTCGCTAAATCTGCTCGGACGCGTGATTCCCGTTAGCGAAACGCCTTCCGACGTTTGCGCGACCTTGGATGACGGATCCGTCATTCGTGGCGAATCGACGGTCGGTGCCCGAAATGAAGAATTGTTCGGAAAATCGCAGGTTTACCTGGATCCTGCAGTAACCGCGAACCCCGACGCGCTAGACGCACTACACAACGCCGATGTTGTAGTCCTGGGACCTGGTGACCTTTTCACCAGCGTGATTCCTAACTTAGTCGCAGACGGAGTCGCCGTCGCTGTCAGAGACAGCCAAGCACGCATCTTGCAGATCTGCAACATCGCCAAGAAGCGCAACGAATCCGGTGGTTACTCGGCCTCCGATTTCGTGGCGACAGCAAATCGCTACTTGAACCCAGTCGCCAATATCCAGTCGCCTGCCCGACGCGTTGACGCCTTGATCGTGAATGAATTCGAAGCCGGTTCGCCACAACCGGAAAAGGCGATCGAACTTGACGCGCAACTTCACACACAAATCGACACGATATTGGCTCGACCTATCGCGAGCGCGACTGACCCGCGGATCCACGATCCAGAAAAGCTGGCATCCGCAGTAATGGAATACGTTGACGCGGATTTGACCTGACTTATCCCGAAAAGTCAGCAAACCTTCAACCCCGTTCGACCACCAAAGTATCGTCTCGGTGCGGACCCGTCGAAATCTCAGACGCCGGGATGCCCAGCAACTCTTCGAGGCGTCCGACGTATCTTTTCGCGCCGTCGCACAGATCGCCCCAATCGGTTACCCGCGTAGTCGACTCTGTCCAACCTGGCAATTCTTCATAGATCGGTTGGCACCGGGCCAAACGCCCCCGCTCGATCGGAAAGTCTTCGATGATCTCGCCATCAAGCGAGTACGCAGTGCATATCTTGATGCGATCCCAATTGTCGAGCGTATCCAATCGAGTCAACACCATCGAAGTGAAGCCGTTAACTCTAGTTGTGTAGCGCGCAGCTACCGCATCGAACCAGCCAACTCTCCTAGCTCGGCCTGTGGTCGCGCCGAATTCGCCCGCCATCTCGCGGATGCGGTCGCCTTCTGTACGTGGATTTCAGTCGGAAATGGCCCGGCACCGACCCGAGTGGCATAAGCCTTGAAGACACCGATAATCCGCGCAAACGAACTCGGACCAATCCCCGTTCCAGTCAACGCGCCACCAATCGTCGGACTCGACGACGTTACGAATGGATAGGTGCCGTGATCAATATCGAGCAACGCTCCTTGAGCGCCTTCCATGATCACGTTCTCGCCGCTCGCAAGCGCGTTCGTGACTATCTCGTCTGCAGACCCTATGTACTGGCCGATCTCATTCGCCCATCTCTTTGTCTGTCCCAAAATCTCGTCGACATCCAGCGGCTCGCCACCGTAGATTTTGGTGATGAGTTCGTTTTTGAACTCGATGATCGGCGGCAAGGTGATCATCAACTCTTCAAGGTCCAACAACTCACCAACTCGGACTCCCATGCGCGCAACTTTGTCAACGTACGCGGGTCCGATTCCACGCCCAGTGGTGCCAATCGCAGCCGCGCCACGACGTTCCTCTTCCAACTTGTCGAGCAAGACGTGGTACGGCATGATGAGATGCGCACGGTCGGAAATAGCGATCTGACCAGGTAACTCCCGCTCTTTGACCATCGAAATTTCTTCGATGAGCGCGTCGGGTGACACTACGACGCCGTTTCCGATGACGTTAATCGTGCCCTCGTAGCAGATCCCACAGGGGATGAGATGGAATACGAGTTTCCCGTAGTCATTTACGACAGTATGACCAGCGTTATTTCCGCCGGAAAATCTAACGATCACGGATGCATCAGCGGCGAGGAAGTCGATTATCTTCCCTTTTCCTTCGTCGCCCCATAACCCACCGAGCACGGCGGTCGTCGGCATTCGGTATTCCCCTTCGCGCAGATGTCCCGCCACGTCGCTTCCTTCGTAGTGGGACACCGGGCACGTGCATTTCGAGTGTGCTTAACAAAAGAATTATATCGCGCTGATCCAGATTGAAATCCGGTCGAAAAGCATGTTCAGGCAGCAGTTGTTCACGCTGTGCGTCGTACGCGTCCGACCTTTACACGATGCTGCGATTTGGGTTGCCGTAACATACGGTCAACGCAGAAATTCTCGCCTCGAGCAGCGAAAGATAGTCAAATGGCAACCGAAGCCCGAACCGCCCACATAGTCAGCGCCGAGATTGACGAAAAAGTCAAGCAATACCTATTCTGGACAGTGATGTGGATCTCTGCCGTGACAGTGGTCGGAATACTGATTCTTCCGATAATCGCCATCATTTATTGGGTATGGTACGCGCCTCGATATGTGGGATTTCACACCTTGGAACTGAGCGATACGGGAATCCAATCGAAACGCGGCGTGGTCTTTCGCAGCCAAACCAACGTTCCTCTCGACCGCATCACCGACGTTGCCGTACATCAAGGCCCCCTGATGCGGACTTTTGGCATCTATAAAGTCACCGTCGAGAGTGCCGGTCAGACACAAGTGCAAGGTGCGGCCAACATCATTGGCGTAGTCGAACCTTACGCATTTCGGGACGCTGTGTTGGAAAACGTGGACATGTTCAAACAGCGAACCGACAGCGAACCGGTTGGTTCTAATGACGTTGCAACGACGACCGCTGGTGGAGAAGACCACACTAAGCTGCTCACCGAAATCAGGGACATCTTGGCCAGGATCGAGGAGCGCGATACGTCGGGCTGATTCGCGAGTCGAGCAACCACGAACAGTTTGGAACTCGACCGCACATCGAGGATGCTTAGGTGATCAGACCCAAACCGCCAAAACATAGTGAATCGTCTGCGAACCAGTCAACTCCAAGTTGTTGACTGGTTCGGTCAGAAGCGTTATACTTTCGGGTTACCCGCTGAAAGAATCATGTGTTTTCGCTTGGTTCAATCTGGTGGGTGCACCTAAAAAGTTGAATATCGATTCCGCATTCTCCGAGAACCGGAGCAAGCCGATTCAAGAAGATGGATCAAGCTACTAAGGGCACATGGGGAATGCCTTGGCGCTAGAAGCCGAACAAGGGCGTAGTGAGACTGCGATAAGCCACGGTCAGCCGTCTGGCAGGCTAAGCCGTGGATTCCCGAGTGGGGAAACCCGAGGCCGCGCGTTCGCGCGCGGTTTCATCTCGAAAGAGAGGGTAAGCGGGGGAACTGAAACATCTAAGTACCCCGAGGAAAGGAAATCAACCGAGACTCCCTGAGTAGCGGCGAGCGAAAAGGGAAGCAGCCCAAACCGGGTGAGACTAAACGGCTCAGGAGCTTATGTCTCACGGGTGTTGTAGGGCTCAATTTGGAGGCTACCTGAGGCTTCCGAGGAGTTACAAAGCGCAACGATAGCTGAGCAGCAATGGAAAGTCTGGTCAAAGAGGGTGATAGCCCCGTAAGCGAAATCGTTGAGCCTCCTTTATTGAGTACCTGAGTACGGCGGGACACGTGAAATCCTGTTGGAATCTGGGGGGACCACCCTCCAAGGCTAAGTACTTCTAGCGACCGATAGTGAACTAGTACCGTGAGGGAAAGGTGAAAAGCACCCCAAGCAGGGGAGTGAAAGAGAACTGAAACCGTGTGCCTACAATCCGTTGGAGTCCACCTGCGGGTGGATGACAGCGTGCCTATTGAAGATGAGCCACGAGTTTCTATTGTTGTGCGAGGTTAAGGCGGTTCAGACCCTAGCGCGAAGCGCAGCTGAGTCTGTAACATGGGCGTTGCAGTCGCGCGGATAGACCACACCGTGTTGAGCTACCCATGGCCAGGCTGAAGCGAAAGTAACATTTCGTGAAGGGCCGAACCCGTTTACGTTGCAAAGTGATGGGATGAGTTGTGGGTAGGGGTAAAATGCCAATCGAACACGGAGATAGCGGTTCCTCCCCAAATCATTTAGGTGCAGGCGTCGGGA